AAAAATGGAAGACGGAAACGAAAAACGTCATCACTTTCTCTGACAGGGATTTAGCACGATTGCAAAGCCAGCACAACGACGAGCTAGTGGTGACTCTACGCATCAAGAATTTTGACATCAAGAGGATCTTGATAGACCAAGGGAGCTTGTGCGAGATAATGTATTATGAAACCTTCAAACAACTCAAATTAGAGGACAAAAACTTAGCACCCGCGACATCTCCTTTGGTCGGGTTCAACTCTATGCCAGAATGGCCAGTTGGCAAGATAATTTTTTTGGTCAAAGCTGGGACAATGACAAAGCAAGTGAAATTTTAGGTGTTGAAAGTCCCTTTCATTTACAACATTATTTTGGAGAGAGCATGGTTGCACGCCATGCGAGTAGTAACATCAACCTACCATCAAGTGATGTGCTTCCCCAATGAAGCTAAAGTGATTGAAGAAATCTTGGGAGACCAAATCATGTCCAAGTAATGCTTCGTAGCGATGAACGGCAGCCGGGCTGCCAAAGGTTTTGTGCATATGGTAGAAGAGCCAGAAAGCAACGAACTATTCGCGGATGTCGGCAAGGCAGCCGAACAGAAAGCGGTGAAAGATCTGGTGGAAGTAAAAATAGACGAAAGGGTCCAAGAGAAGTTCTTTTTGCTTGGTTCATCTTTTTCTAGCACCGAGAGAATAGAGATCATGGAATTCTTGATCTTTAACCTCAAAGTGTTCACCTGGACGTCGTATGACATGTCTAGCATTGATCCAACTTTCATCTGCCATCAACTTAATGGTCATCCGACCAGCAGACCAATTATACAGTGAACTCGCCGATCGACACTTCATGTCGAGACAGTAACTGAGAAGATGGGAAACCTGCTGCAAGTAGGGACAATCAAAGAGATTCACTATCCGAAGTGGATCTCTAACACTGCGGTGGTGCCACAGAAGAATGGCAAGCAGCGCATGTGTGTGGACTATAAGACGGTGAATACAGCATACCCAAAGATAGTTTTCCTTTACCGCGGATAGACCAATTAGTGGACCTAACTGCAGGTCACAACCGACTTAGGTTTCTCGATGCGTATCGTGGATACCATCAGATTACTATGTATGAACTGTATTACTACAAAGTCATGCCCTTTGGCCTAAAAAATGCAGGGGCAACGTTTTAGAGAATGGTCACCAAAATGTTCGAGCCATTGTTAGGTAGAACAATGGAAGAATGCATAGACGACATGGTGGTCAAGAGCAAGAACGAGGGGGACCATCTCAATGACCTAGCTGAGATGTTTCAAATTTTGAAGACCCACAAGCTGTGACTAAACACATCCAAATGCGCGTTTGGCATGGGGTCAGGTAAATTTCTTGGCTTTTTAGTAACCGACCGAGGTATAGAAGTCGATCCCTTTCAAATCAAGACCATTCAAGATCTTGAGAGGCCCAACACAGTTAAGGAATTACATCATCTCACAGGCCTAGCTACCGCACTAAACCAATTCGTAAGTCGGTCGTTAAACAGGTGTCGACCGTTCTTCCAGACACTTAAGGCCAAGTTTGCGTGGGATGATGAATGCGACCGAGCTCTGGAGAGCTTAAAAGAATATATGACCTCTTCACCTCTGTTGGCAACCCAGCGCCAGGAGAGGAACTTTTCCTTACTTAGCAGTTTCTCAGCACGCAGTTAGCGCAATATTGGTACGCGTCGAGGGAATACAACACTTGCCCATCTTTTATATGAGCAAGACATTACAAAGTGTCGAAACGAGGTACTTACCGCTGGAGAAGCTAGCTTTAGCCTTGATGATGGCTTCAAGAAAATTGTCGCACTACTTCCATGTGCACACTATGATTGTACTAATAACATTTCCCTTAAAAGCCTTGTTTGAGATGGCGGATTTTTCAGGGCGAATATTAAAATGGGTCGTGGAGTTAGAACAGTTTGACATTAAATTTCAGTCTAGAACCACAATAAGGCCCAAGCTTTAGTAGACTTCGTGGCCGATTTTGCCCCAGGAAGTCATTATGTTTGCTCGGTTGACTTGACCGAGGCAACCGAACAAAGGGAGGAAAGTGCTGCAAGAATTGCGCAACCCCTGCAGCAAGTCGCTCAACTGTGCAGCAAACCATTTAGCCTTATGTAACATGCCCGGGGAGTACCCGTGCGCGTTAAACAGTTCGGACTCCTGAGATCTCTTTGATCTAGTCTCACGAGTGCAATATGAAATGTAGATGAGAGTCTAGATTTGGCAACTTTATAAAAAATCCATTTTATTGCAAAACCTTTTGCTAGAAATGGACTGCATCATCAGATCTCAAAGTCGCCACCAAATATTTTTGAAAAATTAGGAAACCAATGACTCGTGCTAAGGCCACTGATCGTCGTAACCAAAGATGCTTGGCTCGAAAACTTAGGTATGAGAGGGGAAGGTCAATAATGAGCACCCCTGCTCACCCGATTAAAGATCGGCCTCTACTAAACCATGATATGACTTTTATTTTCTTTATATGTTCACGTTTTGATTATTTAATAAATCCTAAAAATTACTATGTGAAGCATACAAGTATAGACTAGTTTGCTCAAATTGGAACAATTCAATTTCATGTTTGTTTGTCGAAAGGGTTTGAATTTGCCACTTGACAAAGTGGGCTTAAAACGAACATTCGTTGAATCATTCCAATTCAAGCAACAAACCTTCATCCACAGGCATTCAAATAGTTTATCACTTAAGCAGTTAGCTTCATGGTAGGATGCTAAACATAATAAGAAAATTATGTACAAGCGGGATGCTAAAGCATAACAACTCACATATTTACCGACGTCCCGCAAACAAGCTTCAAAACAAAGTTAGTAAAAATATGCATGATCTTATATATAGAATTATAATGCAATACATACACAAGAATGCTTCTAAAGATCCAGCTTCTAAAATATGACATGTGAAACATTGCAAAACATGCGGTAGCGCACAAAATCATGCAATAATAAATTAAAATACAAAGATGCAAATTTAACCGAATCAAGATGCATGAAACATGGATGCAAAGCATGGATATGCATGGCATGTTACATATATACATATGTACAATTAGGGAAAGCGATTAAAGAATGGGATAGAAAGAAGTGGGGTGGGGAATTATTACAACATTTTAAATATTACAAATCCGAGGGAGATGAATAAAATAAAATCCTCACAAACACTCAAAATAAAAATAAAATAAAAAACTTCATGTACTTTGGGGAAACAGACTGCCACAATTAAGAACCCAACTCAGTAGTCCACTGGCAGATTCCATCCATACCGTGTGAGAGCCATAACAAAATTTGAATACCCATGGCCCAAAACCCACATTAAACCAGCAAATTGAGCCTATTGAAAAGGCCCAAATTCAGTACAATTCACATGGACCAAACTGTAGTCCACATGTATACATCCAACACACTAATTTAATCCATCGACTAACTCAAACCTTGGGTGGGATCAAAACATAAATAGCCCGCAGTTGATCACGTGGCCCAGTAATTAATCCTTGCCAAATGCCCCAACAGAGGATTCAAAAGCCTACCATCCACAAGTAACCTATCAAAATCTTAAATGCTTGGCCACTAATCACCCAGCCAGAAGTAGCCCACGATTACCCAAATATATATACTATAATACATATACGAAATATATATGCTATATTATATATACTTTTACCTCAAGCAGCCCCCCACCACATGCATTCCCATGTGGGTTGATCAATAATTTACTCGGCGCACATGGCAATCCAATGAAACCATCAGAGCCACTGTTCAGCCACTCAGTGGAGGATGGCCGTGAGGTACTCCTTGAAATAGCTTTCCTCAAATCCATCAACTCATCTTCCACCTTCTGTACAGGTAAGCTAGGCTACATTGAGAATAATGATGAACTACCAATGATATCCACCAAATTCCTCTTCAGGCAATCACAAACCTATCCTCATATCATAATATTCTCCAGCCCAAAAAAAAAAACACAGTTTGTAGAAGGAGAGACGAAGACGATGGGAGAGAGAGAGATAGAGCAAGTGTATGCCTGTGTCTCTGTGTCTTTGTGTTTTTGTCCCATGTTCATCTCCTCCCCCCATGCACCAAGAGAGAGAAGAAAAAGATTGGTTTCATGTTTTGCTCCATGTTCATCTCCAAGCATTCAGTGTAGAATGCATTGCGATTGCGAGCAATCTGTGAATGGAATGACGGCGGAACACCAGCAGACGAAGAAGAAGAAGACGGAGCGACGGAGATGAAGCTGCGGGTGGAGAAGATTATGGTGGCGCACTGGTGGCAGCGGCGCGGTGCTTACAAGAAATTGGGTTCTGAATGACGAAATTTTTTTGTCTCTAAAGAACTAATTTTGTCACTATAGATATTTGTGAGGAAATATTTTCGTCAACAGTTTCGTCATTGAATGTTTGTCACTAAAAACTATCGTGACGAAAAATAATTTCGTCACCAATGAAATTACTTCAGTGACGAAATTTTTTGTCACCAATAAAATAACATTTTGTCACAAAAAATTCTCATTTTTGTCACCAAATAGTTATTCAGTACCATATTTATAACTTTAGTTGATGAATAAATTTGTCACACATATTGATCGTTGATGAGAAAATAATTTTATCACAGTAAGACGTAAAGGTGACAGAAATTTTTCGTCTCCAAAAGTCATATATGGGTGGCGAAATATTTAGTCATCAAACAACAAAATAAATGAAAACTTTCATATATAAGCTGTAATAAATTTTGTCACAAACAATGTTTATTAGCAACGAGTAATCACTTGGTCATAATAACAAGTACAAATGACGAAACAAATTCGTCACTAAACTTGTTCCATATTTTATATTTCAATTTAAATTATTATTTCACAAATATCCCTGCTCATATCCCAATAGCCTTTTAATTGTACTAAGAAATCCACTAGCTATTATACATCACTCCACAAAAAAATTCACCAAACAATTTATATTATAAATCAAAATATATCCATCAAACAAATTTAATAATAATCTATTAAGTATAACAAAAAAACATCAAAGCAAATCCCAAAATGAACTAACGTGGAATCCACAAAAAAAATTAACACTCAATCTTGATTTGCAACTACAACTAAGCATCAGTTTAGGACAAAAAATTCAACAGTTGATCTTCATTTACAAGTATGTTTCCAAACGCCATCAAAAACCAATCTGCAAAGAAAATAAACAGGGCAAACATTAATACATTATCAATTATATTTAAACTCATAAATAATTTTATTTTATAAACCAATTTAGTAGAAATGTGTACAACAATTCAAAACTTCAAAGAGTTGACGTGATTCTTAATGATAAAGCAACACGGATAACATGAGATACCAAAAGATTGCAAGAATACCATATATCACTATCACTAATGGCAGAATATATATAATAGCTCCAAAATATAACGTAGCATTGAGGTACATTTGATTCACGACAATGGGCCGATGACTTCTTCAATGAGGTAAATTTGATCAGTGGAATTCAACACAAGAACCTTGTAAGACTTTTGGGTTGTACCATTGAAGCCCCTCAATGCCTTCTTGTTTATGAATATGTACCCAACAAAAGCCCTGATCAAATCGTCTTTGGTAAGGAATCATTGTGATTTTTTATTTATAAACATGCTCATGATTTTTTTGGCTCTTTGATTTTTAATTTCGGCTGCTTTTGGCTAATATTATTTATATATTTCTTTGTATACATTTTAAAGAACAGGAATCTTACACAAATGAGGTACAAATAAATTTATCTGAGGCAAAATGACAATAGCAAGTCCTGGAAACTAAATTACAAAGATTAGTTCTTTTCTGATAGAGTGGGTCCTAACCAGGACTTGAATTCTGCACCTTCCTTTTTGTGGGTGTCAGGAGATGCAACTCAAGCTAATACCAGGTAAAAATAAGGTATGTTAAATATTCCTTATTCACTTCTTATATAATCCAATTGAGCACAATGAAGGCAACATATGATTGGTTGGTTAACACAAATTGAATGTTTGTGTCAAATAACAAGGACAACACCACTAAGAGGCAGAAGTTGAAGCCTCAAGAACACGAGATAGACCAACAGATATGAATGTAAGTTGTGAGAAAGAACATGATCTCAAGAAAAAACTTCTTTAGCCAGGACAAAGTGGTTGAAATGTGGCTTCACTAAGTTGAGTATAGGGAAAACCTTCAAATGGATCAATCTATCAAAAGTCCTTATTATGCTTAACCATCCTAATGATATATACAATCTAAAAGAATAATTAAAGCAAATAAAAGCAGCAGCAATCATAAAGTGATATACAAACCTGACCAACCCACTACCTGAGACTCAATAAATGTTCATTTCTTCTACTGTGAAAAACTCAATCAAAGACACACCCATTATTAATCACATCACTAACTTAGAGCAACTCCAACATTGCCTAGTAAAAATACACAAAAAAATAAACACATAGTTTTGTCTCTACTTTGGTTAGTGTGTATTTTAACTAGGGTCATGCTAAGTAGAATTTTGATAATGAATCTATTTTCATTAAATACATCTTCAAACTTGTTAAATCTTAGTTAATAAGTAGTCAAACTACTGCACTTTAACTAGTATATACTAACCAACATGAGAAAAATAAAATGATAAAACAAGCGAGACTTACCAAAAAGGCGATGTACGAGTTCATGGGATACCTCCTCTAAATTGTCCTTTGAAACCTTGCTTCTTAAGAAACTCCATGATGCTTGATGTCATCTCAAAATGCTCGTCAATCAACCCATTCATCTTCCATATCTCTTTATTTTGTGTTTGAATTTCCTCTTTTTGTGCTTGAAATTCATGTTTTTGTGTTGTAATTTGTAGACTAGGCACACGATAGTTTTTGCAACTTGCTATGATTTATGATATTCGCTTGCCCCTTAAACCGACCTACAAGTGGACCATAAACATTACAATTTTGGGAAAGGTCCAAATTTCAGTTAGCCATTAGCTTTAAACTAAGCATTTAGAGATTCATACATGGAATAGAAGGTATAAATTGGGATGATTGTGACTGGAACACATTTGTTGCCATTAAGAGCCTTGCACAAACAGCACTACCAGCAGCCACACAGGTACAGCTGCAGCTTGTGTTCCAGATGTTGGTTATTAGTTAGTCAGTTACTCTTCCCTTTCATTAACTATTATGTGTGTGTCTAGCTTAGAGCTGAGAAATGAACATTCATTAGTCTGTTCTTTTGTTCATCTTAAAGTTCAATTTCAGAAAAAAATTTCAGTAATAAAGGAATTTTTCACCAAGAAAGTTTTCAGAGAACAGAGTTTTCTTCAACTGTTAGGCACTCAAGGTCAGTAAAACTTTTTCACTGAAAACTTTCTCTGGAATTTATTAGAGTAAAACTTTGTTTTCAATAAGGCACTCAGTTTTCTTTAACTGTTAGGCACTCAAGGTCTACAACATTCATTAGAGTCTGTTCTTTTGTTTTCATTAGAGTCTGTTCTTTTGCACCATAGAATTATATTAAAATAGAGAATTTCATTTTAATAGTAAAATTCAGCATCTTATCGACACTAGATTGGGGGGCTGCCTTCCTCGATGCCTCTATATCGACATCAAGTGGTTGTGAGCGTTGGGTCTCCACATTGTCATGTAAATCCCCATTCGGAACAACAATTACCTCGTGCGAAGGTTGAAGAGATGACTGCGCCAATTGTTTTGATGGCATTGGTAAGCCCTAAAAAACATAATACAAAAGCATAAACAATAAATACATAAAAATGGATAAGTAAAGATATGTATATGGAAACTCATCAAGGCCACTGTTGATATTTGTAATCTGATCCAGTCCACTCCTTTTCTTCCCAAGACTGGTCCTGACAAGTGGTTGCTTTGAATATTTTTAAAATGGTCAGGTAAAGGGTGTTGTCACTCAAAAACCTGTAGGCAAGTTGAGTGGTTGAGTGGTTGTGAGCTACCAGTAGTTCTAATATCTTTAATTGGCTTTTCCTAATTGTGTGCTTTGCAAGTTGTCAATCTGGTGTTTCCAACATGGTCAAATTATGTCTTATTTCGTTATACATTTGTGTTCCAGCTAACTTACTCCTACAGTTTGTTTTGGTATGCATATTGTTGTATGTAGGATGTATATTTTCTAGTTTTATTTTATGACTTATTCATCCAATAAAGTATACGGAAATATAAAGATAGTATTAACAAAGCATCGTTAACAAATATATAGCTATCGGTGACATAATAAAAAAAAATGAATGGCCATACATATAGTACCTCATCGTCAACACTTTCAAAGGACTCAGCATCAGTGTCATCCTCATGATCTGACGGTATGTAGTCATCATCATCTACCCTAATCACATAGTTTTGTCTCTACTTTGGTTAGTGTGTATTTTAACTAGGGTCATGCTAAGTAGAATTTTGATAATGAATCTATTTTCATTAAATACATCTTCAAACTTGTTAAATCTTAGTTAATAAGTAGTCAAACTACTGCACTTTAACTAGTATATACTAACCAACATGAGAAAAATTAAATGATAAAACAAGCGAGACTTACCAAAAAGGCGATGTACGAGTTCATGGGATACCTCCTCTAAATTGTCCTTTGAAACCTTGCTTCTTAAGAAACTCCATGATGCTTGATGTCATCTCAAAATGCTCGTCAATCAACCCATTCATCTTCCATATCTCTTTATTTTGTGTTTGAATTTCCTCTTTTTGTGCTTGAAATTCATGTTTTTGTGTTGTAATTTGTAGACTAGGCACACGATAGTTTTTGCAACTTGCTATGATTTATGATATTCGCTTGCCCCTTAAACCGACCTACAAGTGGACCATAAACATTACAATTTTGGGAAAGGTCCAAATTTCAGTTAGCCATTAGCTTTAAACTAAGCATTTAGAGATTCATACATGGAATAGAAGGTATAAATTGGGATGATTGTGACTGGAACACATTTGTTGCCATTTAAGAGCCTTGCACAAATAGCACTACCAGCAGCCACACAGGTACAGCTGCAACTTTTGTTCCAGATGTTGGTTATTAGTTAGTTAGTTACTCTTCCCTTTCATTAACTATTATGTGTGTGTGTTCGTGTGTGTCTAGCTTAGAGCTGAGAAATGAACATTCATTAGTCTGTTCTTTTGTTCATCTTAAAGTTCAATTTCAGAAAAAAAATTCAGTAATAAAGGAATTTTGCACCAAGAAAGTTTTCAAAGAACAGAGTTTTCTTCAACTGTTAGGCACTCAAGGTCAATAAAACTTTTTCACTGAAAACTTTCTCTGGAATTTATTAGAGTAAAACTCTGTTTTCAATAAGGCACTCAGTTTTCTTTAACTGTTTGGCACTCAAGGTCTACAACATTCATTAGAGTCTGTTCTTTTGTTTTCATTAGAGTCTGTTCTTTTGCACCATAGAATTATATCAAAACAGAGAATTTCATTTTAATAGTAAAATTCAGCATCTTATCGACACTAGATTGGGGGGCTGCCTTCCTCGATGCCTCTATATCGACATCAAGTGGTTGTGAGCGTTGGGTCTCCACATTGTCATGTAAATCCCCATTCGGAACAACAATTACCTCGTGCGAAGGTTGAAGAGATGACTGCGCCAATTGTTTTGATGGCATTGGTAAGCCCTAAAAAACATAATACAAAAGCATAAACAATAAATACATAAAAATGGATAAGTGAAGATATGTATATGGAAACTCACCAAGGCCACTGTTGGGTCGCACACAACGCTAAAGATACGTATATGGATAAGTATTGTGGAAGGATCATCTTTTATGTCCCTATTTCAACCAAGTTGTTACCTACTATTTACCACAATACTAAAATCCAACATGGAGTTACACAAAAAGTAAACTCGTTTTAATGCTTTAAACAGTTTTTCGATTTGCAATTTCAAAATTGTGAATCAATTAGTTTAGCGAGGCAGTGAATCCACATGGGTAAATTTGAAATGGATTGTAAACCTACATGTTCTATTGTCAGTTACTAATACAGAAAACACTCATGGTGATGGAGACTTGCTGGAAATCACAATCAACAACAAAGTCCCAAAATTTCTATTCATTCTCATTAAATTTGGTAATGAGCCAACAACAATGTGGAGACCCAACAGAGGTGCATTGTGTGCGGCCCTACTCATAAGTAAAGATATTCATTCTCGATGCCTCTTTTAGCTTCTATAGCACTACTCAGCTTAGATTCATGAGCAGAGCTAAAAGAATCTATGTGTGCGAGCCTAGTCTAAATAAAGGTGCATTGTGTCACAACCTTGCAATTTGGGATGCCATTCCCACTGGAAGACTCTAGAATGTGCTTGAAGACTTGAGAGGTTCATGGAACTCTCTAGAATTCTCTAGTCTTATAGAGACATCAAGAGGCTTGTACATAGTTCTAGAGTTGTAGATAGTATTCTAGAACACTCTCCATCATTAGGGTTCTAGAGTATTCTTTTTTTTTATCAGCAAAGAAAATGAAACTTTATTGATGAGAAGAGCAAAAACAAGCACCAAAATACATCAATAAAGGAGAGCAAAAAGCATCATGGCTAACACTCCACAATCCCAACTAGGTTGGCATCAAGGAGGAAGCACAATCATCTACTAGTACTAAATCCACAGATTGGCGAGAAGCCAATCCAAAACAGAGAAACAAAACGAAAAAAAAAAAAAAAAAAAAAAAAAAAAAAACCACTCAACCAACTCCTCCCCCAACAACTCCAGGAATTAACACCCAAGGTAGCCACAAACTCCTAGCAACACTAAGAAAATAACACCCAAGGAAGCCACAAACTGCACCAGGATTCCCTATGCACTCTATCAGATGAGCAATATAAAATGCACCCTTACACTAGCAACAGGCAGGAGAATACATCAGCAGACCAAAACCAAAACCATGGCTTCTATAGTCATATATCAGCTGTTGTATGCTTCCACACATCAGATCTCAGCAAAACAGAACAGAACTCCAACACAGATGATCACAAAAACACAGACAGATACTCTTCTAGCAACACTAAGTTATTAACACCCAAGGTAGCCACAAACTTCCCCCTGATGCCCTATGCACTCTATCAGATGAGCAACATAGAATGCACCAAAAACCATGACTTGTACAACAGTAGCATACAACAAACCAAAGCCAAAACCTTGTCTTCTATAGTCATACAACAGCTGTTGTATGCTGCCATAGGACAGCAGCAACAGAACAGCAACACCAGCAACAAAACAGCAGCACCAGAACAGAATAATATTCTTTTCCATATTAGGCCCATAAATCCTCTATAAAGAATTACCTAGCTCAGACTCCAAAACAGCAGCAGAGAATAGCTCCAAGTCATTAAGACTCCAAAACAGATTTGGTTGAAAATCCTTCCACTCATACAGCATCATACAACCTCACACAGCAGCAATCCAACCTCACACAGCAGCAGCAATCCAGCTGCAAACCATTCTGCAGCAACTCCATATCCAATAGAACATGACACATAGCAACTAGATTAATTCATGCAGCGACTCTGTAGCAAATAGAACATGACTCATGGCAGTCCACAGATGAGTAGAGCAGCCCAACAACAAAAGAGCCTGAACCAGGCCAAAGCAGCAGCAGCCAACAAAAGAGCCTGAAACAGGCATACACTAGCCACAGCCAACAAATAGAACTAAAGGTGGAAATCAAAACAAAACAGAACAAATAGAACAACTCCACAGTAGTTCACAGCAGCTGTTCAACCTCACATAGCAGCAGCAGTCCACAGCTGAGTAACTTATCCAGCAACTTTGTAGCAAATAGAACAAGACATATAGCAGTCCACAGCTGAGTAGAGCAGACCGACAACAAAATAGTAAGATTAACAGAATCTGAGACAGCAGCAACAACTCCACTATAAGGCCCTACCAGTTAGACTAGAGTATTCTTTGTAGGCTATATACGGGGAAGAGCCTTATTTGCCCAAACTATTTAATTTTATCTAGTGCAACCCAAGTGAAGTCACACTTCTGTTTCCTCGCCACTCAATGCATAACGTCCATTGTGGAGACTTGCACAAAACGTTGCAAGTCTATTTACCTTTAAAGTTAGAATCCATTAAAGTTTCTTGTTATGATTTGGTAAACTTAACATGATTTGTAGCTGCATGGTTAGTGTGATAAAATGTTTAGAAGAATAGTGTTTTCTTTTTCTTTTCTTTTTTTAAATATTTACCCAGTGTTTCCCAACCAGTGTAGGGTTCTAGGAGGTGTGGACTGAGAATAGATTTAACCTTTTCTTTGCATGTACTGGCTGCCCTCAACCTTGAAGCCCCTAATTATTGTCTTCTATTGCAAACTATATCATCATATCATAGGTAGCGTAGCTCAAAATGCATCATACATGATAGAGTGGTGCTTTGTTTATAAAAATTCAGGGTGTCATTCCTAGACTTGTTGAATCCCTCTGGCAGGTAGTTCATGCTGTGATGAAGTTGGTGATCAATCCGTTTGGCATGTGTTTTATTGACTATTTTAGCCAAAATCTATCATCCCAAACATATAGACTCAAACTCCCCTAAAAACTTAGAAATGCACATGAGAGAGAGAACTGGGGCCACTGTTTTGTTTGGGGAGTGTTGGATTGGATGATAACAGTGAATGGTTTGTAAGAAAAAGTTGAAAACCCTTGAAAGAGAGAATAATTCCTTTATGGAGCCAATGGGGCTATGAACTGTTACTCACTATTTTAGATAATTCAAAGTATACAGATTTTGGATGCAAAGCTAAGGTTCACAAGCGGCGCAAATAAATTATT